GTCAGGAAGGATGCCCGGGCGGATATCCCGGTTTTCCTGAGGCTGGAATTCCCCCCGCGTGCCTCCGGAGGGCGGAAAGCGCCGGGAGCCGCTGCCGGGTCCCCCCGGTGCTGGGGCGGGGGGTCCCTGAGGGGTCCCCCCCGTGTTGGGGCGGTGGGTTCCCTGTAGGGTCCCTGTGAGGTTGGGGCGCGGGGGGGGGTGGTGCCCCTGTGGGTTCCCTGTGGGTTCTCTGTGAGGTCCCCCCAGTTTTGGGGTGGGGAGGTCCTTGTGGGTCCCCGTGGGGTCCCCCCGGGGCCGGGCGGGGGGGGGCTCAGGGAGGATCCCGGGGCTGTGGCTGCTGAGTCAAAGGGTGCAGCATCCCGGGAGCTCCCGGGACAGCCCCGGCGGGAGCTGCGACCCCGGCCCTGGTGGCCCCCGCTCTGCCATCACCATCCTCACCATCCTCACCATCCTCACTATCCTCACATTCTCCATTGCCATCGTCACCACGGCCACACACCCCCTTCATCTTCATCATCTTCATCACCGCGGCCACCACCACGACCACTAACACGTTCAGTGCCACCATGATCGTGGCCACCCCCCCCCATCCTCCTCCTCCCCCCCCTCCACAGCCGCATCCCCACCCCATTCCCAGCTCCATCCCCGTCCCTGTCCCCATCCAACTGCGTTTTCCACCCTGTCCTGTTCTATCCTCGTCCCATCCCAGTCCTATCCCCACACCCAGAACGAACCCAAATCCTGTCCCCTCCGCTCACCTTCCTGTCCCCACTCCAATCCCATCCCAGTTCCATCCTCATCCCAACCTTAATCCGAATCCCGATCCCAAAATGAATCCCATGCCCTCTCACTTCCACCCCCTTCCCAATCCTGTCCCCTCCTCAATCTCAATCCCAATCCCAATCAAAATCCCCAAATGGATTCCATCCCCCTCCCATTCCCTCCTCCTTAACCCCCTCCCCACCCTCAGATCCCCCCAAATCCCACCGGATCTCACCCTTTCCAAGCACTGGGAGCCAAACACCCCCTTCACCCCAAATCCTGTCGCTTTCCCACCACTTTCCTTTCCCTCCCCCACCCTTTGGAAACCCCAAATCCCAAGGTTCCCTCCTGGGAATCAGCACTTCGGGAACACACCCCAAATCCTGCAGCCGCCTCGGGGTGTTGGGGGTTCCCTCCACAGGGTCACCCCCACCTTCCCCCCTGCACTGCCAAAAATCCTCGGTTTAGGGTTTTTTTCCGCCCCATTTTTAGTTTTTAGGGGAGTATTTTCCATCCCAGTCTCCGATTTATTTTCATTTGGGGCCGGATTCCTCCCCCTTTCTCTCGAAAAACGCCGGATCAGACCCATCGGGCAGAGATGGGAGAGACTTTAATTTTAAAGAATTCCAATCCATGTATAAAAAAAGTGAATTTTTTTCTTTTTTTTCTTTTTTTCTTTTTTTTTTTTTTTTTTATCCCAACCTCCTAAACTGAGCCCAGAAACCACGGGGGGAAGGGTCGTAAGGTGGAGGCCGAGACGCTGCTTGTTTTTTCCCAGCAAGTTTTGGGATTTTCCTGACATTGTTTTCCAGCTCTCCGGGCCGGATCCCGCCCGGCCCTGAACCGCCCATGGGAAATGCTCCATTTTAGGGGGGTTTCCCCCCTTTTTGGAGGGTCTGGTTTTTAATCCCCTCCACCCTCACCCCTCTGTCAGCCTTTTTTGGGGGCTCCCAGCAGGACCCGGCCCCGGAGCGTCAGCCGGACGCTCGGCATGGGAAAAATCCCCCAAAGCTCTCGGTTTTCCCTTTTTTTTAGCTTTTCTCCCCTCTATTTAAACTTTCCCCTCCTATATTTTAGTCCCTGGCCCCATTTTAGCTTCCCCCCCCCCATTTTTAACTTCTCCCCCACCTTTTCAAACCCCCTCCCTCTTATTTCAACTATTTCCCTCT